AAACCGTGTTCCCGTAATTAAAATTATACAGCGCAATTTGAATGAAATATCAGATCTCACAGAAAGCTAAGAAACAAAAAAAGTAAAAGCCTTCTAGCAAAAATAGAATCTTTAACCACTGAAAATTTCAAAGCAATTGGCCCGTTAGCAAATGACAATTTGCAAACGATTTTCTGTGCAAGCGTACCAACCAGATGCGAAAACAAGTTTTACATGAAATAGTGGACAGAGTACCACTTTAGTGCTGCTGAATTGTATTCATCTCGAATTTTTCCAGAACCATTGGAAAAGTCTTTTCAAATTGCTTCTTAATTCTATTCGTCTATTTTGATTTGTAAAAAAAAAATTCAAATAAACTAACACCATATACATGATACATGTACAAATATATCCGAATAAATAAGACAGATATCGTAAATGGAAAAAAGCCACATTTCCTACCCAGCACGATATTGATAGATTTGCTTGCGTGTTTATTCATAGCTTATTTGCAACAGAGCACACCACTTTGGATAGATACCTGGTATCTTTCATTTCAATCCTCAGGTGAGGTATAATCATAACGTGCCAATGATAAAGTCATAAACATAACCTCGAAGACGGTATATATGATTATATATATATATGATTTGAAAATCCACTATTATTCTGGGTGCGTTATTGAAAGCTAAATTTATCATAGCCGTATAACACATAAACACTTGTGGTTAGCATCTGATTTAAATCGTGGCGTAAAATTATAATCAAGTATGCATGTAAAATATTTCTTTGTCCTTCCCTTTTCCCAAATTCTTCAATCTGTTATAATGTAAATGACCGTACGTCACTCTAATAGCATTGTACAAAGGGTCCAACTCATACTATTATTTACTAGTTTGGGTAGCTGGTTTTGTTTATATAAAAAATACCGCCTCTAAATCGTTATATTCATTGAATTTTAATATGATTTTGATTGGTAAATACACTATTTTGATAATGTAAACCCACGATTGAAAGACAACATTTCTTCATTATCTGAAACACATTGGCTACTTAGTAAAATACAGTTGCCCAGTGATATTTTTCTTCGATGAACGTATAATGATCTACAACTCCACTCAAACGCAGTCGGACTGCTCGATTACCAACACCGTCGACAAGGAATATGGTAAGTCATATATATCTATAAATGTTCCGGCGACATACATTGATTGGGTTGGTGGCGAAAGCCGTGTTGCCTTTAATTAATCTAATTTTAGAAATCTTTCAAATCTGCTTTTGAATTTTTTTCCGGAAGTCGAGTCATTTTTCCTCTTAATTTAACTATCTTACTCAGATTATGATCCGATAAATACCTGGTAGGACCTGTGTAAAATAGGATTGTGTTTTCTATCTTAATATACACTTACTTTCCCAAATTTACAGCGACTGATACTTGGGAGACACCGAAGATAAAGCAGTTTTGCTGAATTCACATGAATAGGCTTACTGATTAATCGCTATAGCTGCACACTTGTGGAGTGGGTTTAGGCCAGGGTCGTCCAACCCGTGGCCCACCAAAGGTTTCCGAGTGGCCCGCGCGGTATTGTTCGAAGCCCGATGTCTTTCACAAATCTGAGCCACTATTAGAATCTCTAATAAAAAAAATTATTCCTCGCCGTTCAAACGCGCGAGAAGCACCATTAGGCGATCGAAAGCTTTTTTAAGTCTCTTTGCGGGCGTTATTGCTGGAGAGAGATATTTGAATTCATTTTTATCGTCTGCCATGCATTTCGATCTGTTTTCCTAGCTTTTTTTTTCTGTGAAGCTTGAGAAGGCAGTTTTCATGACTTCAATATTTGACAGCACTTACTTGTACAAGCAAGATTTTTCACGAATGAAACAGGTCAAATCCCCAGTGAAATCACTTATTTCTGACAGTCATATGAAAAATTCGCATTGCTACATTTGCACCGAATATTGACAAACTTGTTGGATAAAAACAGTGCTATACCGGTAATTCACAATGAATATCTATGTGTAGTAAAAACTTTTGACTTTACTGTATCTTCGTATTTTCATTGTTCTTATAATTTTGTTGTGAGGGTTTTGTTTGTTTTTCAAATAACCTGTAGTCGGTGTAATGAAAACTAGAACATGGCGGCCATGAAAGTTGGACAACCCTGATTCAGGCTGACGCACCCAGTGTTCATTTGAAAATAAAAATTTTGAATAGTCTGGAGATGAAATATTTTTTAATTTTCACATGGCTTCATATCTTCTTTTACAATATCTACAATTTTTCTAAAGGTTTATCGTTTCCTACGAAAGTGCTCTCAACCAGTGTTGGGAGTCAACTCTTTTGTCAGCCGGTTTCATCACAAAAGTCAAAAGTCATTTTTCAGAAGGTCCTGGTACAAAAAGTCATCTTTTCTAGCAAATAAACCAGTCATGCTGACCGGTTCGCTGATCTCATAAAATGTGAGACGGTTCCGTGAGACGGTTTCATAGAACCGGTGCGAACCGGCTGAATTCCACCACTGCTTTCAACCACCCTGCATCGAATAATGCTTAATTATTATCAGCCACTCTTGTCGTCTAAAATTATCAAAAAATAGTATAGCACTCACATCATACAGCAACAGCATAATCTAGAAGTTTTTATCTTCGGAATGTATATTGGAAATGCTAGTTTAGATATACTGAAATCTTGATGTAAGTGCTGCTATTTTACATTTTTGACTACCTGAATTAAAGTCATCAGTTTTCACGATTTGTACCCGTCATTGAGCCATGATAAAGTACCGGTACTATTGTACCAGGCCATCACTTAGATTAGAACAAGTTCATATAACCTTTCAAGCATCCAATATTTTCTTTTTTTCGTCTGATCACTTTTTTGAATAACATGGACAAGATGGCCATATATCGACGCCTTCGAATTTTCCTCCGCTGGTTCAGTCTTAGGAAAAAGCGCCAACATACGGCCATTAGGATGGTGGAATACCTAACAAATAGCGACTCTGATACTAAATAAATCTGCCAGACCGACTTCAAACATTCCGATTCGAACCGGTTCACAAGACCGAATTTAGTGGACATGTAATCAGGCCGAGTCACTCTTACCCAGGCTTTTTGATACTGTGCCGATTTTTCAGACGTATGCAAACACCACATAAAAACTATTTTAACTTGAATCCATGCTAAGAATCCAGCAATTTTTGTTGTTTTACTTCACATATTGAGTACATTAGGATATTACATGTATGCATGCTTTACATGACATCCCTTCCTATTACTTTCAATATTTTGGTGAATTTGTATATTTATATTGTTTCTGTGCTATTTGTATTTTCCTGTATTCATTCATTTGTTTGTGTTATTTGTGGCTGGAGTATGGAGAAATAAACAAATTGATTTGCATTCATGGGTGCTATTTTGATGATATATGGGGAGTTTGTGGATACTTTATTTGATTATGCGTACACGCTTTTCGACAAATTTGATGCTAAATTAGGGTCTTATTGTACCGAAACCTTCCTAATCATATATTGGATCACTGTCCTCATGTTGTACGCGAAGTGTACTTGTTTTGCTAATCAAGGTCAAATTCCCAAGGTAGCATGGAGTTAGACTTCGGCTTAACCGTCTCCAGATTCCACCACGAGATGTCGCTGAGGATTAAAGCTACCTTTTGTTTTTAGCCTTGACCTACCACGTAATGGTACAACCACGCCGACGTCATCTTGATAGGCAATATATAAATTTGAAACTGTAGATCGCTGCATTCAAAAGACATTTAAATATCTCATATATGATTCATTTCAATTCTTCAATTCGATGATAAATAAGTATTCTAATGTGTGGGGGAATTCTCACAGGTACCTGCATTTTACTTGAAATTGCATTCCTTAAGTTGATAAATGCAAAAATACAGTGTGATGACAATGATTGCGAACGCATAAAAGGAGAGAACTAGCACAAATGGGTTGTTGCGACATCGTCCTCGATGTTTAAATCCCATGCCCTAAATTGCTTCAAAATCGCATGGAATACTCTCGGTAATTGACAATTAAAATAACTTTTTGCAGCTTAATGTATTTACTGTTTTTGTTTTCTTTCCAGTACTTTGCTTGGCATTTAAAAATAAATTTAAGTAAAGCTTGAACGGTTTATCCTTTTTATGTGTAATAAATACATGGATCTATCAATAATATTTTTCATTCACATATTCATTTTAGAACATCACCATGATTTCAAGAGAATTTCATCAAAGAACACGTGTGCAATTGTTACTTTAGAATTGTATCTCATTTCGTGATGGGAATATGAAGTATCGTCAACATTTGAACTAAGCAATCAAGCAGAAATCGTTAGTATTAGGCTTTAACTGGATTTTAGCGTTTCACGATTTTTCATAAGAGTAAATTCCCATTTTATGGCTAGTGTAGTTTGTTTTGTTTAGCTCTGCATCATTCTACAGAATTTTTTATATTATCTAGTTTTATCACGGCAATATCTAAGAAAAATACCACCAGAGTATCATCGATGTTAGTGGTGTCCCAGTTTCTTAATCCCCCAATAAAGAGACGAGAATGCGCTCCAGTTGACAATCGTTTATACGAATCAGATTCTGGGTTGAGTTATGTTGATGGAGTAGTGCGTCCATTTTGATTAGATATCACAATCCAATATTTTTGTAATGGTCTTACTTCTTATCTTTTACCATTCAAACCTATCATGGGTTTGAAAAATAAAAATATTTGTGACGTGAGTTTTCCAAACATATAAATAGTTTGTATAATATAAACTTTTATTCAGCATAAGCTCTGGTTCGGACCACGCCATACGGAATCGGGTCATCAATAATTTCTAACCGTAGATGTTTATATATTTGCTAGTTATTAGATAACACCCACACTGACTCTCTAAAATAAATTTTTTAACCACGATCGGGAATTACCTCTAGATTCTAGATGTTCAAATAGACAAGTTTTGTACGGTAATTAATATCATAGTGTTTATTATTGTAGTATAAGTCACTCTTATTTCGACGCGAAACTAGAGTATAGTATAGAATGTTTTAGATCAGTTACATTAATGACCTGTCAAACTCGATGAGGACCTCCTGAAGTATGCGCACCAAGATGGCGCACAACCTGAACTGCGCATACTTCAGGGGTACCCTAGCTTCCATTGGTCGGAATCTAAATACAGCAATACTTTATTCATGCGAGTGTTTTATTATATTTTATCATTCAAATTGAAATGAAAGCAAGTTGGCAGTCTATTATTTGTGGCAACTGCTTATTATAATACAAATAACAAAAATAAATTGAAAAACATAGGTATAAAAAATCACAGCTGGAAAAATGGAAATAAATTAGATCTAAGACATCGAAGAACATTATTTACAAACGGAGCATAGGCGGCGAAGGGCGAATATAAATATTATAAAATATGAAACTTAATCTATAAAGCATTGTACAAAATATAAAAAATAAAATATATGTCTAATAAGTTCAATATCGCATTTCATCTACAACCGCATTCTTCAACGATCATATCTTCATGATCTCTTTGTACAACTTCTCCGTTTTCAAAATACAGGAGGCTGAGTGGTTTCAATTTGGTTGGCACACAACATGGAGTTGGGAATTCCAAGATCTGGTCTTGTTAGAGCATGAATTGATTGAACGTAAGCATGATTGGTTGTTTTCATATTTTGCATGGTAGAGAAGTTGCACATTCCTTCGCATCTGAAAGCTTGGTAACGTTTAGGGTAGATGATCCATTCACCCCACCCAATCTTATCAAAATCGACTTCGAATGGAACTTTGCGACAATGAGAAGGTGCAGAATAGTGATGTTGTTGGTTGACAGTTCTTGGGCTGATTTTTTCATCTTCAATTTCATTCTCTTTATTCATTTCAACATCGTTGGACCGTTCATCGTGATTAGATTCGTATTCGGTCTTGTTACGTCTTCTATTCTTATCTTTACGTCTTCTTTGGCGATCGTGTTGACGATAATGAGCGGTAGCTGGTACAGCAGAATCGCGACGGTGACGTTCTTGTCGTTCGTGGGCTGCATCGATTAATCCGTAATTCTTGTTATTTGAAAACACAATCAATGTAACATCTTCGTTTGAAAGTTTTGATTCTTGAAGCCTTTCAACAGATTCTGTCTCTGAATTTCGGTTCATGAATTCGGTTTTGTACCAGTGACGAATTAAGTTTGTTACTTCCAAGTTAATTCTGCAAAGAAAAAAAGGAAAGATATTTAGTAAAATGTATATTATTTGATCGCGGTTTTAACTTTTCTCAACTAAATACGAATTTCATCGTAGGTTATATGGTGATTTATTCTATTTATATATTGTAATAGCATTATTTTAAATCTAATATTTTATAAAGATACTTACTTTCCATCTGAAGGAATTCTTTTAGTGGTGTGTGAAATTTTTCCTAGTTCTGTTGTTTTCACAGTTTTTGAAACAAAACGAGCTTTTATAACGATAGTGTCAATTTCAAGAATGAAGTTGGGAGCATTGATTTGAATTTCAGAATATCGAATTCGTTCGTTTGGTAAAACATTGGAGAGGTCGAAGGTCAGGATCCATTTTGAATTTTCTTGCGTTGATTCTAAAAAAAAAATAACAATAGAAATTATTTACTGATTCAATAGTCGATGTCGTTTAGGGGCAATTGTACCATTGTTCAACTTAAAAATAACACTTGAAATTGATAGAAGTGTGAAAAGATGATGAATAAACATCGCCTTGATACACAAATCTGTCTAAATCTTGTTTTTAAGTAAGAGAGCTTGTTTAATGGAGCTGTACTATCGGAATTTTTCAGCATTTTTGGTGAAGCAAACTAGGAATAAAACTACGAGATTTGTAGCTTTCTCAAGTGTTTGCCGATGATACTCAATAACGTTATTACACGGAAGCCCTGGCGAGAATTGATGTTTTAAAAGTGTCCAATTGTTAACTTTAGGATTAAAACGAAATTAGTAAATCGATAAACGACATGAAAACCTATGTTATACACAAAGCGCTGTTGAAAACTCGTAATTTTGAATACACAATTTGGTCTATGACCCCTATTATCCCCGAAAGTTTGCTAAGTGGATTACCTGACTAAAATAAGGATTCCGTAAGATAAATAAAGATTTGTTGTCGGAAGCCAAAGATGTTATAACATTGTAAATCAAAATAAATTTAAATATCAGAATGGTAGTTTAACAAATTATATGCGTTGTTTTCACTCACAAAACCATTTTGGGGAAAATCGCAAGAATTGAAAGTATAACTCACCAATAACGTTGAAACTTCTGACGGTGTCTGATCTTTTTAAAGCGACTCGCTCTTTGCCGTTCATTTTGTTTTGTTTCCGACGGTTTCGGCGAGTAAATGCAGAACGGGCGGAAACGGCAAATTCTTCTTCCGCTGATTTTCCGTTTTTCTCCCGATAAAGAGACATCATGTAGCTGGTGCTTTCCGATTTGCTTTCGGCTGAACTCGTTGATGCAGAGTGACTTTGAATTTGACTCAAAACTTTACTGTGGAATTCCAACATTCTTTGAGGTAATCCGAATTGCGTTGAATCAGCGAAAGTGCTCAATGTGATGAATACAAAAAGTGACATTTTCACTTTTGCACAAAAATCCATTTTTATATCAGAGTATTGTTGAAGTTAATATATAAAATATTCTGTAGAAATAAAAGAAACATTTAGTTCCGGTGTTCATGAATAATATAAAACAATAGTCATCGTTAACATACAAACTTAAATCAATCTGGTTATCAACTCAATGCTATTTATTGAGTTGAAATCATTGCTAACTATTCCTATTATTAAACAAGAAACATTGATGATTATTGATTTCGCACTTCGGCTTATATACTCCTTCGTCAGTCGAAATATTTTTTCTTCTTCTTAATTTGTTTACTGTTTGCAAACAATGAACGAAGTCATTAATTGCAATTGTATTAATTTACCTCTATACTTTTACTACTTCTTATCAGGACGATACATGAAAGCCATAATTAGCGATCGCACCTGTCTGCAACTGGTTTTCTCTCTCTGTCACATAATCCTTTCCTCTGTGTTATCGCTCCTTATCTCTCCCTCGTTCTGCACTCGTCGTCTCCCTCTCGTGTGCCGACTCGTGTTCGTTCTCTCCTGCTGCCAAGACAAACAAAATAAGCAAACAAAACGTACTCATCAGACATGTGTTTTTGTAAAATATATAAATTAATTTTGATGTATTTTATTTGTATAGCGGCACAATAAAATGATTATTATTTTTTGGCATATTAATGGATAATCAAATTCAATTAATATACTTCAGTCAATCAGTTGTTTCAATATTTCACGAATATAAACCTGAAGATTTAATTCTGTTATATTCTCGGTATATCATATGTTACAAAAAAGACACGCATTAGATATGAAACAGTTTTATTTATTGGCATATATTTACTATTCCCTGAATTTTTAAGTGTGAAATTTTTTCATATCAAGATCTAACTAAATCATTTTAAAATATTAATTCGGAGTTGATGCAAAATCAAATTCACTTGGGCATATTTATTGAACATGAAAGGTTTACCCGATTTAAAAATAAATAGATAAGTAAACAAACAAATCATTTATGAGGTGCGATTTAACATATGGAAAGTGCGAGAGTATATTTGTTTGTGTTCAACTGAAACGTAGATTAAAGCTAGCGTAATGATATTGTACGTAAATGCCGACGTACTATTATTATTAATTCAACAGGCAAGCAAACATTCTCATAACTGTAACGCATACACAATTAGTTGGTGCAGCTTTGCTAAAAAAGTCACTCAAACTCGATCACAAATCCTATAGTTTTTCAACAAAAATTTGGTATCATTGAACAGCGTTTTTGTATATCTTTTATTTTGGTGATCTAGGAAACGAATCAGTCGAATAATAGTTCAACCGCAAATGGGATTAACGGACACCAGTCAAAAGATAACGAACAATGCTGGTTTGACAAACCCAATCACAATCCTCCTACAGACAGATTCACTCTATCGAAAGTACCTGCAGACGAGATATGGCATTGTTTCATAATGAATGGGGACGAAATTGAGAATTATGCGTTGAAGATTGTGAAAATTGATAAGTTTTCAGGATACTATCATTTAAATGAGGTTTATGGGAAAGGGATAATTAAATATAACTCTCTCTCTGAGACACGCACGAGACTCGGACACATCGGTTTTCAACGTCTGTCGCTGAAAAATGAGATTGCGATAGCTCATCAAAAATAAGTATTTTTGAATAGGTAACTTTGATTAGCAAATTCGACTTTTTCTGTATTAAGTTCTCATATCATAAACGCCTTTGTAGACATTAAATGAAATAATAAAGATATTAAATTGAAATTTAATCCCAATGGAATTGTTTTGTTACACAATAATAACACTAAACGAACGAACGAACGAAGTTGAATCAAAATCATATTACGATGCAAGTTAGTAAACAAATGATGCAGTATTGAGTTCTATTTGCTTAACGCGTGTCGGTGAATTCGTCTTTCATATATTTTAATAAGCGATAAGAATTGATCCATTGATAATGATTAAGTGAACATACTTAATGATGTGCGGAATATTTGACTTTTTATGTGACAATTATAAATTTCTGTTTTTTCTTTAATATGTGAAATATTTGTATAAAGTTAGTGTATCTCATCATAAATGTTTTTGGGAACACGACGGATTGATTTGATAGGACGCATACCGGTGGTGTCCAGACCATATAATTGTTCATCTGATTTTAAAAATGCAAGTCTCATGATGAGATAGAATAGCTACATAAATCTTGTTATAATCTTTCCAAAGACAAAATACAGTATCGGAGTGTACCGGCAGACAAGACTCGATAATGCTTCCTTACAATGGAAAATTATTCGCCAGGTAAATTATGTAGATAAGTGCCAGGAACACATCAATTAATTGTGGCAGACGATCAAATTGCAATTTTGACCTTTAATTAGTTTCCATTGACAGAGATATCTTGAACCAGATTTTTCAATAGGCTTCGCTCCACCCTAATGAACAGATGTGTACGGATGGAATAAAGTGTGTCGGCAATTTATACCTCAGAATGCAATCCATTAGTTTGAATTTATATTCTTTATTTGAAAATCGGCGTAAAAAAGTAAAAAAATAGAAACATTATTGACATTAAATTTTGGAGTTTTACAAGGCGCGTACAAGCTACTTACAATTAGATACCGTAATTTACTTGATATTTTACAATAATCTTTCAAACATTGGTGCTCCTGAAGTATGCGCACCAAGATGTCGCATAACCTGAACCCTGACCTGGTACACAACCTGAGTTCAGGCTGCGCGCCATCTTGGTGCGCATATTTCAGGAGGTCCAAACATTGTTTACTTAATTTTGTCTGTATCAAATAAATTGAATTGTTAACACAAAAACAAACAAGTGCGCATACATTGAGGTGTAAAGTGATTTTTAAATGTTTGAATGTTAAATTATATTTGCTTCTAATTTTCGATAATAAGGTACTAGCATAACTATTGCTGGATTGTTTTCAACTTTTAGTCTTTGTTCATTTGATCATCCATTTCATTCATCCTTAATAAGACAAGAAAATGTGTGGAAAAGTAATAAAATAGGTATGTAGACTACGTTTGGTAAACAACTATCATTCGGCAGTAATTTGTTCTGATTTTAAAGATTTTCTTTAAATGCATAAATGATTGAATATATTTTTTTGCAATTTGTTAATTTCATGCTTGGTTTAATATCTTAAAATACCTTAATTGCCCAAATTTGGCAACAACAGTCTGTATCATAGTCGACACGTTCTCAAAATTTCAGTAATTGAGTTATGAGATAAGAAATAATGAGTTTTTAGAAAATAATGTAATAATCTGTGTGAAACAAAAGCAAGATATCTAAAGTACCGGCAGACCAAATTTGATAAAGTGTTGCGATGGCGCGGAGAAAGTTAAAAAAATATCCAAGCGGAAATTGATAAGTTTTAGGACTATATCAATTAAGTGTGGCAGACATTCAACCGCATGCGCTTTTGGCACGCTCATCATATTCTTTAATTAAAGACACAAGACAGGATCAACCCCCAAATTAACGTTAATGAGTGCGAAAAGAAGAAGAAAATTGTGACAGTCGCGTCAAATTGTTCCCAAAATCCACGGTTACACAAGTTGAGAATTATTTATTAGCCAGATATAATCTATTAGTTAAACCACATAGTAATATTTCATCCCTGTCGCCAAAGTAATAATATACATTACACGCATTATGTTTCAGAATAACGTAACTATTATTTGTAGTGCATGAAATGTTAAATAATTTTTAATTCAATGTAATAATTAAATTAACCACGGAAAATTCGGAAAATAACCATCACGACAATCATTTTCTTGCTTCAGACGATTGGGGATTTTAGATTTTCAATATTCAGTTTAATATATTGTTCATATTTTTCAATCATTGGGATCTTACCCAAGTAGCTCGCGTCATGAGATCAGATTCAATGTAAATTTATTATTTGTTTCAAAATATCTAATCAAAATGGTAAATAATCTTTTGTTATACAATTGCATCTTCAATGGGCATTCAGTTATTGCAATTTTACGTACATTTATTTATTATCAAAGTATAAAATTGTTGTGATTATTAAAATAAATATCAAACGATATGATTGCTTTAAAACAAACAAAATGATCAGTAATGTGTGAAAATTTTTGTCAATAGAGCGAAATATGAATTGTATTTGTTTTTTAAGATATAGTGATGAGATTTAATAAAAAAATAGATTAGAGATTCACCTCAAACCGATTCATAATTATGCAAATATGGTCTTATCGCTATTTACATTATCAAAGCAAATGAGTTTCAGTACTAGGATCGTTGCTTCCCGAATAAGGTTTATCACGAAGAAGCTCACTTTGCTTCATTATAAAAAAAAATCCTACATTTTATTGCTATTACCGAAGTGTACATATATATGAATTATCGTTTTGTAAAAATTTTGTTGTCAACATTCTGATTTCACAATCACTGAACTCACAGAAATACTTAGCCAAAAATGAAAGGAATAAAATGATTTTGGGGGATATTCAATCCATCTCAGGAAATGTGTCACTAAAATTTTCAATTTCGTATGAAGTGTAAAAAAATTGGCTATCCAAGGTGCATTTAAAAACTTATATATAGGATGTATGCGTCTACGTGTTGTTAAATATGGCGTAATCGAGACCTAGAATGATTTGTGAATTTTGTTAACAATATAACAATAGGTATTATCTCATACTCCTATTGACCAAAAACTGATAATTTCACTTTGCATGTCAATTCAAAGCAGACCCACCAATAATTGAGGGGCACGAACATAGGTCATGTTGTTGTTTAGGTCTAATAATATAATTAGTAAAAATTTGCTACCTTTTAAAGCCGAGATTTCTGAACAACGCCGAATTGTTTTGTTACACAATAATAACACTAAACGAACGAACGAACGAAGTTGAATCAAAATCATATTACGATGCAAGTTAGTAAACAAATGATGCAGTATTGAGTTCTATTTGCTTAACGCGTGTCGGTGAATTCGTCTTTCATATATTTTAATAAGCGATAAGAATTGATCCATTGATAATGATTAAGTGAACATACTTAATGATGTGCGGAATATTTGACTTTTTATGTGACAATTATAAATTTCTGTTTTTTCTTTAATATGTGAAATATTTGTATAAAGTTAGTGTATCTCATCATAAATG